CAATTCATCCTATTTTGTACCTGTTTGGGAATTCTTCAGTTACAGGAGCAATAAAACAGAAGAACTTTCTCATTGAGTATGAATGAAATCAATTATAGCTACTACGTGCGAGCGTCTCAGCCTTTCCAGAAAAATATCCTTCGTTCGCTAACGAATCCTGATGGGAGAACTGGAAGTTCAACTTTTTCCCCCTGGATGGCAACTTTATTAACGTCATGCGTATCGGTCGGATACGGACGCGTCACGGTGATGTACCCAGCGTTCTGGCCAATCTGCAAACTCGTTCCGGGCGTGTAACTGGGTCGCAGGTTTATTCGAGCGATGCGCGATTTAACAGAAATGAAATTTTCTTAGCGGCCGACGGGCACGTTTTCTCCTCGCGCCGATTACGCCGGGTCGTTGTACAGAGTGTTCCACTGGAAATAGGTTAATGTCTTCGCTATTTTTAAGTGGCACGTAGAAGATTCTATTCATGTATTCTGAAGAGGTGGGGACTAGGAAGCACTATGCTCGTATAAAATTTGATGGTTAAAATTGATACACACGAAATGCTAGGTAATGGGTCGAGATATCTTCATCAGTATCGATAACTCCTTTCAACTTGGAACCTCTTTCGCATTAACCCGAGTAAGTAGTACTCAGGCGAAACTACAGTTGGTGAGTGTTAGACGAGTTTCGTCACTTTTTCCAGAGTGATTTTAGAAGCAGTTGCAAAAATATATAAAATTCCATTTTATATTTTATGTTCCATCGTTTATTTTTACAACTTTCAGTTTAGTCGCCCAGTATGGCTGTAGTTGTTAATATTAAAACAGTTCTTCCTCTGTAATTCCATGCTTCATGTTTCAAAATGCAAACACAAATTATTATCGAAGACGATCCAACTTCAGAGTACACTTATCAGAGTATCGTTTAACATGTTCATCTCACTATGTCAGACATAACGAAATGAAATAAACCAGTGCAAAATAAAATGAGCAGAAGTAAAATCCAAGAACATCGTTAGGGGCAGGGACCCTAAAAATTTGTTTCCCTCTAATACAAGAAATTAAGTTTCTCGACGAGACGCCCTCGGGCAGTTTACGTTTCCGCGGATTTTTAATTTAAATTGCAACGAGTTCAGAGAGAGAAAGAGAGAGAAAGAGGGAGGGAGAGAGAGAGAGAGAGAGGGAGAGAGAGAGGAAAATGCTCGCAAGTACTAAATATATATTTGACGACAGACGTGACCATTATTTACACGGCGAGTCTCGTTTCCTTTCGCGGTAATGATAAACAACCGACTCTCGGCTCTATCAGGGTTTCGTTAACATCCCTCCCGTTCGTAAAGGCGACCCATTCTCCGTGCAAATGATCGGATACATTTGACTTGGCGGCTGGGGCTCGATTGAATTCCTACACTTGGATGGAATTCTTGGGATTCCATCGCTTTTATCGCTCACGGGGGAGCAACTGGGAAAAGAGATCGTTCGCAATGTTTCATCCCTGTGTGGGGGAGACGAAGGAAGCGAACGAAACTTACACGGTTACTATCTTTTTAATCTGCATAATTTTACGATAAATACCGTGGCATGGACGAAGGAACCAGGTGCGAGCCGTGACGCGGGTGCTAAGGGTGGACGGAAGTCTTTCAGGGGTGGTGGAAAGAGGAAGCATTCAAAATGAAAGAAATAATTTGAAATCTTTGGAAAAAAAAACAGTGTTACTTTAAATTTGATACTATTGACATCGATTGGCAAAGTACAGCAAGGTAAGATAGGTAGATAGAAAGACAGGGTTAGGTCTGCAAAGGGTGCAGAACATTCTAATTATGCATTAAACTCGGAAAAGGTTCGTGTCATACAAACTACTCGGTTTGGAAGATCAGCTTGAAGATACAGAATTCTATATTATTTAAATTCAGAAGATGAATAGTCAAGTCTCACTCAGAAAGAAATTTATAAATAGAAGTATATAAAATTTAAATATTTCCAAATCCTAAGCATAATTGACGATATCATGAGGCTAAATAACCTTCACCCTACCTATTCTATCATTTTGTATATTCTTCAGATGGATCGAAAACTGAGAATAATTGTGGGAAGTACTTTTTTGGGAAAGAGATAGGACTCGTTCGTAACGGGAAATACACTGGTATCGTCCCTTGAAGGAACGCCAAAGAGATACCAGGGCGGATAGGGATGGGAGACCTCGTAATAATATGCTTTCTTTTTCTCCGCCGTCTGTTTTAGACCCGTTTCGGTAAATAGGCGCCTGCTTTTAAAGATTACTCCACGCGCTCAAGGGATCTCCGGAACGCAAAGTTCCTCTCGCGGCCGGCTGCGAAATAACGAGGCGAGCTAATTGGACGGACGTAATTGTTAATTTACTAATAGCCTCGTTGGCTCCTGACGTCTTTTAATTATACGCACGCGAAAGTGTCCCGCTGCTAGACGAGATTTAAGATTTTCATCGCGAGCCTGACCCCAGCTGTGATCAAACGTGGTTGTTACGGTCGCGAGCTTGATACCTTTGCCGTAAATCGTTTCCCCCTGGTGAAATTACAGCTGGGATTACAGGTAGACGATAAATTCACGTAGAAGAAGATCTTAAATAATTATCCGTGTAGCAGGAATATTTTGCGCGTAGCTATATCTTCAAACCAAAACCATTTGTTCACTAATTAACATAAATAAAATGCAAATTTACTTTATCAATGGTATGAAAAATCGATTAACCTGCAAATAATAAATCGTGGACTGAAATTCATTAATTACTTTATTGCTTTCTTGCTTCGAACAAAATTTGGTTTCCTTACTCGGTTTACTATTTTTCAGCATCTATTAACATCATATTAGACTCCTTACTAGCTTCCTACCTTTTTCATTTTCATTCCTCTACATTGTTTCACCAAACATCGACCAAGGGTTCGAATCAAATATATCATAAAACTGTTTAACTTCTATCCTATTGGAACGAGCGCTGTCAACGAAATTGGTCGATTCCGAGTTTCCGATTTCGCGGTTTCGTTTCCTCTGGGGCGTCACCCGATCGAACGTCATCAATTTCCTTCCAAGGGGGCCACGCGGGCGTCGCGAGAATCACAGTATGCATACGGAAACTTTTAGAATGTTGTTTCGTAGTCGACGTGCTCGCGCTTATGAAGTTCATGAATTCATTACCGGCGGGGCTCGTTACGTGAAGCGGCGCGTTCATTTAGAGCCCTCCTGGAACTGGAACGCATGCCTGCGAGCCCGTCGCGGTTATTTTCAATGTTTCTTCGTTAGGTCGCGGCGCTCTTAATCCCTGGCATCCATTAATCTTCGGACCAATTATTTAGCACAAAGTCCTCTTGGTTATTGCAGCCCACTTAATGAGAAAGGATATCGCCGTATAATTCGGCTATGGTCGCGACGGAATATTTAAAACCAACCGCATGAAACTTATGACGTGCAATTCTTACGGCTGAAATGTTATTTTCATCGTTGGCAGCTTTATCGGGTTTAATAGAAACGGCTTAAGGGAAAACATAAACTTTGAGTCCCTAAAAGTATTATATTTAAGAATTTTTTTTATAATATTAAATGTCTGATATATCTCAGAAGTATATGCTTCAAAGAATATTTTTGTCAATTTTTACGGTAATAATTCCACGATGATACAGTTATAGAGCAATAGAGAACATGAGTAGAAACTATTTAGAAACGTAGCAGTAGTCATGAGTCGACTTAAGGGGAATGAATCCGTGCTTGGTCAGACAGAGTCCATATAAGAGAGTCGAGGTGGTCGTCCTACTTTGCGGGCTTTAAAAAATCGACTTGTTTTTACACTTTATGGAAGTACGAAGCATCCAGTAAATCCATATGTCCGTAAAATTACGTTAAAAAATTTGTTAACTTGACAAAATTGTAATTCTCTGACCAAGGTGGAGAACGGGTGAAAAGTTGGATAATCCGGTTTAACTTTAAATGCGTTTTTCTCGGTACCGTGTTTTCAAACTTGTGTGTGCGATATCCTGAAGGACGGTTCCAACTCCGAGTTCGGATTTTATTCGGTAATATTTTTCGAAAGGATCCCATTAAAATTCAAGATGAAGATTTTTAGTGTTCAGAAACGTTAAAATTGACCCGCAAAAAAGGGTCTATACTTCTTCTCAAAAAATTCCCAAAGATGACCCCATTTTCCGAAGCACTAAAACGAGAAATTTCCTTAATCTTTATACGACCGTGCAGGGTTCATCACAGGTTCCAGCCTCATTATTTCGTTGATAACTCATTGACTTCGTTATGTTAATATTTTATATTGAAGATAATCCTCTCCTCTAACCTTCCCAGCCTTTGCCGCAGTTGCACGTTACCAAATTATCTTAAATTCCCCGAAATTAAATAATTTAGTTCAAAAGCGAGTAAACAATCTCCTATAGAGTTGTTTAGCACGAGATAAATTATAAATTACAGTTAAACAACATGAATTAACCAAGAACATACAGTCATTCCCATAAGTAATCGTACCTTCTGTTTCTTGAATACATTTGTATAAATTAAACAATAGAATTGACATTCTCAAAGAAATTTTTCATTATAAATATGTACAGTTAAATCATGTATATATTTATAAAAAAACATTTATTTGGAAACATCAAACCTATCATTTAGTCTAGACGAATTTCTTATGATACTGGCTGTATGTTTACCAGTCAAATTTTCCTTTACTCAATTCTCTTGCAGTTATTTCAACTCTAAAGTGCCTATAACACAATCCTGCCAAATCTACCGTATGATCGAACCCTCGTCCAACTAGCAAACTTGTCAAGCTACCGATCCCTCGTCCAACTACTCGGTACATGACCGTCCTCATCAGAGGGCTCATCGTCCCTCGCCCTCCCGCTGAATACTTAACGCGAACTAAAATCACGTGGTCGTCCAAAGATTAAAGGGGCCGGTTCAACTGGGCGAAAAGGGTCGCCGTCGTGTAATTTCGATGCCCCCAGGTGTGCGTAATCCGTTCGTAACGTGTGTTAACAGAGATCGCGCCGCAGCTGGTCTACAGGTTTATCGAGCAGACGATGCAAACCGGCCCGTCGGTTTCCCTGAAATGCAGCGCCGCGGGTAATCCCACGCCGCAAATTTCCTGGCTGCTGGATGGATTTCCGCTTCCGCAAAACGACAGGCTACTGATTGGCCAGTACGTGACTGTGTACGGGGACGTGATATCGCACGTCAACATCTCGTCGGTGAAGTCCGAAGACGGGGGCGAGTACGAGTGCATCGCCAGCAGCCGCGCGGGGGAGGCGAGACACTCGGCGAGGCTCAATATTTACGGTGAGTCCCTGAGAGATGAGAGAGAGAAAGGGAGAGGAGGGAAGACTGTTAAGGAGAAGAATCGTCGGCTGGTGTCGATTGAAATTGACTGGAAACCCGGAGGGAATATTACGTTTCTCCTGGAATCGATCGTTGGGAATATCGGCTTGATGGGATCCCTTTGTCATTAGCGTGGCTCGTTTCTGTGGCCCATCCCAGGGGTGGGGGCGGTTTCTGTTAATTAAAAACCACCCCTCCTGTTTTATCGACGATTATACCGGTCGCGATTGGATCGCGATGCGGAAAGTGTAATGGAGTTACGTTGGACCTTTGGGGATGCATTTGGGACTTAAAGGGATTCTATCAATCCTTGTGTAAAAAGTATCGAGTTTTGTTTGTATTGAGTTTCTTTTTAGGACTTGGAGAGTTTTCGATATTGGCGCTCTTAAGTTAATTATTTTTCTTCTTGGCGAGAAACAGTGATTTTATCTTTGTTTCATGCAGACGTACAGTTAACCAGGGCGCGAACAAACAGACAAACGCGTTAGTCAAGTTACAGAATAAGAAAGAACATAAGTAGAGATAGTTTAGAGTCCACCGAAGGGGAATGAGCCCGTATCTAGTCAGACAGCCCTCACGCAAGGAAAAAAAAATTAAGGGGAGTCTTTCTACCTTAGATATTCCAAACAATTATTAATTTTGTGCAATTACAAAGTGCCTAGAATCGCCTCTAAAATTACATTAAATGATTTGTCAACTTAACAAAGCTACAAAAATAATACATTTCCTATTAACTTTATTGAAGTTTCCATGATTGAATCGATGCAGTTTCCTTACGCACCCAAATAGTCTATCCGCAATAAACCACATTTCAAATCATAATTTTCATTCTATATCACTTTAACCCGCATTTGAAGCATCCAACTCGTGGCACAATTAGACCAGTCCACCGCAACGTTGCAACGGAGCCCCCAGACAAAGTGCGAGTTTCTAACAACGACGTTCAAGTTCAAGGAAGCCCCGTTCCGCCGCAAACGAGAATTCGTACGAAATTAGAGTCGCTTTCATCCGTTGCGTCCCAGCAGTTGCCGAGTTTGGACAAAAGCGAACTCCCGAAGCATCGACGATGTTTGCTCTGGTTTTCTTGAAAAAAACTGGGACAATGAGGGGATGAAAGCGACGGGCGGATTGGCTCGACCCTTTGTCCACTAATTTGATTCCTGGCTGAAAGGGCGAATTACTTTCCGAATACACGTTTTATTGCTTGTCAATCGCAGGTTTGCCGTACGTCAGAGCCATGTCCACGATTTCGGCGGTCGCTGGGAAACGGTTCCACATCAAATGCCCGGTAGCTGGCTATCCCATTGACTCGATAATTTGGGAGAAAGGTGAGTAAACACGTTTTATTTTCGTTAAACGCCTGGGCCCATTTACATGGTGTAATTAAAGTCAGCAACGCGCCCGACCGTGCGGTTTCAAGTTTCAATTAGCGGCAGCGCGCGTGCCAGTTTTCATCGCTGCGAAATTCGAACCCATCGAGGTGGAACACATGTCGTCTTCGTAATTTCCACGAGTTTTCAGAGATGGGAGCGAAAGTCTTGCCTGGGTGAAAATTTCGAATAACGAAAAAAACTCGAGGCACTTTCATGTAAGACTGCCTGTGTTTTTCAATTTTTTTTTTTTTTTAATGTACACGAGCAACTGCTGTAATTTTGTAAGGAACACAGGTTTTTATTTATTAAAGAGACTTAAGCTAAAATTCGAAACCTATCCAATTTCGAATAACGATGCTTGAATCGACCATCCGCGTTTTTATTTCGTTTTTACAACTGACGAGGATTTACTGTAGTTTGAAAAGGTGCTCGAATTAATCAAGCTATTCTGTACCAGCTCGTCCATGTTATTGTTCTCAGATGGAGTGAAGCTGCCAACCAACATGAGACAGAGAGTGGTGAATGGAAGTCTGTTTATAGAGACGGTGCAACGAGCCGCCGATCAGGGCACGTACACGTGCACTGCCAGGAACAAGCATAATTTCACCTCGCAACGGACGGTCGAAATACGGGTCCTAGGTGAGTAAGCAGAAAAACAGATATCCTTTCGATACAGGTCTTTTTCAGGCTTTACAGGGCAGGGCGATTGAATTCACCGAGTCGTTCGGACTCTGTTGGTCGAATATCGTTCACCTCGAGAAGTTTACTGTCCTTCGTGCTTGGTAAACTGTGTCTGGAAAGTTTCGAGCACGAACGTAGTAAGAATTATCGTCATCTGAAAACGATTTCGACGCTGTTATATCGATCTACCCTTACTAGTATCTCTCGAGGTCCTTAACATGTTAACTGGCGAGTTGATTCCATGAAACTTCCCTTAGAAACCTGCTCCCAGGTTTTTCCCATAATTTGTACCAGAGGTTATCAATGCTTAACTCGAAGGATACATGCACGATATATTCACTTTCAATATTTTGCACACTTGACTAAAATTCAAACTTTACTAACAATATTAAATTTCGCAATCTCAATAGCTCTCCATATCGTTTAATCAACATCGAAACGAAACGAACAGCTCCGCGACGCGTTGGCAGATCAACCATAATCGCGTTACGATGGGATTAGAATATCTCCTCCACGTTTGCTCCAGAGACTCGCCAGACACAGGTTGCAAGCAAAATTCGAGTCTCCCCGTGAGACGAGAGTAATCGTCTCGAAACAGCGTCGCTTGTGATCGTTCGGAGCATTAAAGAACGATCAACAACGACGCTGACGAGCCTGAAGCTACATTATTCCCACCTGTTCGAATACCGTCCACCCGTTCCCCGTCCGTAATTTTTCGTTCCCCGCCCGTAATTTTTCGTTTCCCTAGCAATCGTGTATTAATTACATTTCGTGTGTGCACAATGTCCCGGGCGTGTTTGACGCGTGCCGCCAAATTCACCTGCACACAAAATGTTTCTATATCAGGTTTACGGAGCGAATTCCGTGTAGTCCATTGTTTATCGCTGGGCGGGATCACCCGACGCGGGGCAGCATTCCTTCGGGTTTCCGGTTCGATGGTTACAGGCCGCGCAAATTTTCGAAACGCGATCCACGAATGTTCATTGAACCCTACCGGTGGGCACAATTATTTTTGACAAGCAGATTTTTATGATTGACATTTGCATCCATTGTAACGTTCAGGAGCAAATTTGTGTAGAAGTAATAACGAATCAGCGGCTGTCCTTTTTTTTATTTAGTATTCGAAATTTATCGGTAGGTAAAGATTCTGCCCACCTCTGGGTCCTCTGATCCTGTGTATTGAGATACACGTGTACACGTACCACTTTTACATGGGAAAATGAATATTGATATTGTATTTAAGGTTGTATGCATATGTTATTTATTCCTAACTGTTACACTCACGTGTGTTGACCATTCAAGAAACTTCAATTGATGTAATAGATCAAATCACACAATATTAATCACTGGAGAAACAAGTTCAAATAAAAAATAGTTCTACTGCATTGAAAGTGTACAGTGAGATGACAGTGCACGGTTAATATGCCCAATCTTAAATGCAAGTCTATCGAAATAAGGAGTACTATGAGTACTCTTCTTCATTTCACGTGTACGCGTGAATTCATGCTCCACGTAAAATAGAGTTTATCCCTCGAAAACGAACCGTAGTCTTCAAGATATCAAGGATACCACGTGTTCGACGTGCCCCTTGTACTCGGTGCATTATTTTTGCTCCTGCACTTTATCCCAAGTATAGTAACGTTTGAAGAAGATAAATCCGCAGAGTGCGGCGTGAAACATATTCGATTCCGAGCAAACATTGGTCGCGCTGTTTAATCGACGCTGCCTCGCGAAGAAACCCCCGGGAGACCCAGGTCTGTGATTCTAAAGCTGGGAAAGTGCGACGGAACTTCTAAAAATTCGAGAACTTGCCGTAAGTTGCCTCAAAGGATCCAGTGCCGGGTGTTCCAGTGGGGTAGGAATATCGTTCGCGCCACTCTAACCGTCCTGGCAAGAATGTCGCGCCCTCTACTTCGCACCCTTCACCACGTTGGCCGCCGGGGATTTTTTCAGGGAAATCCTCTCGCACTGTACTATCATCTTCTACTCCAACCAAATGACTGTCAATGGGGTGTGCGCCTTGGAATTTCATATTTTCTAGAATATTCGCGAAGGGATTGGTAACTAATCTTGTACACAATTACGATACAATTTTAATCAAAGATTTACCTTTGAGGCTTGCCATAGTACTTTCAAAAACGTAAATAAAGTATTCATTCGGGTATTCGTATTATTTGCAATAGAACACAATTGGAGCTTATTAATTTTGTCTGTATTTATGAGAAAAAGTTGTTGTTTTTTCATGTTACATTTGTTTATATTTGAAAGGACCAAGCACCGCAGAAATCCTATTTTATTATTTGGGGAACACCTTTTAAAACGTTCGACAATCGTTGGCAAATGCCATATAAAATCACTACAGTGCTCTGAGTTTATACATAAATAGTAGGAAGTGCCTGTGTCTGTATTTAAACCGATACAAGCAGAGCACTGGATCAACATGAGTATTTTTCATATAACATGTTAACTCATTTCACTCGAATTATCCATTTGAAATATTTTGATTCAAATCCAAACAAGTCGCATCGCACGAACACTATCTCAGCTAGTTACTTCTTACACTCATTTCAAACAAAAATTGCCTCGCTATCAAATGCGATCTAGACGGGTGGCCAACGTGGTAAAGAGTCCTGTGAATGTTCGCAACCGTGGTGTAGGCGATCGCGTTCGTTTTCTCTGTATGCTAGAACGGAACAACGATACGCGAGACAACAAAGGGAATCGAATTCGACAAGACAACGGGCGGCGATCGATGATCGAAAGGAATCGGGGAAACACCGCAAGGCTAATTAATCCACCGGGAGCCAATTACTCCACTCTCGTCGTTTCTATTTACCCGTGCCGCGGCGTGACCGCGTTCTAATGGTAATTAGCCCAAGCGAGCAGGCACCGCCTTATTCCTACGCCACTGGATCCGCTTTGCGTTCCCGGAGCAAAGGAGGAGACAATCAAAGGGACCGGCGCACACTGTTCTGTGCCCTGAAATCCAATCATCCACGCTGGGAGTCCAACGCCAGCTTCTGTAGCTTTGGACACGATCGAAAAAGTTTCTCGCCCGTTCGTGGAAAGAGATTTCTTATCGACTAACGTCGTCGAGCTGCGATTCGATCGCTGCGCAGCGCGTCTGCCACTGGCAGCTGGAGGAACACTTCCGAGGGGGCACGCTCCGTTCGAGTTAGGGGGCTTGAGAATCGTGGCAGTAATTATGCTTCAGAGAGTTCCGTTTTAAAGATTTCTATAAGCTGAAAAAATAATTCTGCGAATCTTCTACGTATTATTTAAAATATCTACGAAGTAACAACCCCTCCTTCCTACATTTCTTAGTCTCACCTCTCTAAACACTGTCAAAAAAAAAGATGTCGTCGTGATGTGAAATCCTATCGTACCTGAATTCTATATTATTTATTACTCGCGCCACGATTCTCTAGGCTTTGAAATATCCTCGAACGAGGGTTTTCGTTATACGAGGGATGGACAGACGAATTCAGAGCGAGCGTGGCTCTCGAAGGCATTCTCCTCAGCTGCCAGTGATACGTACGCGCGCTCTACGGTGTGTACGTGTGCGTGTATGCGCCTATCTGTCTCTACTCTCCTTCGCTCTCTGTCTTCTCTATGTGCGTCACCTGGATATCCGTGCGTTTGACAACACTCGCGAACGTACCCACGCACCAGAGCACAGCACTTCACTGCATCGCTCAAGCATCTGTCCTTGCACGCGCTCTCGCCTAAACTGCTCTGTATATTATATTCCGTGCGTGTACTTTTGTACATAAAAATTCATATCGCGGCGATACTACCGTACTCTGGATAGGTACGGGGACCCGCTGTACGTGTACACGGGATAAATTGCACGGAGCGCAGGAACGAGGGGGGATTTTAATCGCGTCAACCCCGAGGAAACTCGGGGCGAAAGAAGTTTCTTTTCAACGGTGCGATGAGATAGGTATCGGGGGAGCAAGAAGTCAGGCTATCGGTTATTTATTGGATCCTTGAATAAGCTGTGTCGCGTATTGTCCGAACGTGAACACGATTTTAATTCGTTTAGGAGTGCTTGAGAATTCGGTAGGGTATTTAAATAATGAGTTTGGTATTTCTGGGAGTTTATGAATTGAAAACGTCGCTCTCAATCCTTAGTTTAAGGATATCGAATAATCCAGATCCGTCGTAAAATTGAAACTAGTATCAATAGAAAATTAGAATGGTTTACACAATTTGAACAGTCGCAATATCGTCAAAATCGAACGAATATGATTAGTCTAAGAATATTGGCTAAAATATTCCTTGAAAAATTGGAAAAAGTAAGTAGAGATCGAAGTTTCGGTAATCTGTAAATTCTGTAACGTTTGAAAGGTCCAACAGATTTCAAATAGAACGATCTACATTTTCAATATTTACCTGTCTGGAATCTAAATGCTCGATCTTTGGAGTCCAAGACGCCTTCGATTGAAAGGCCTGATGCGGTCCCCGAGCTCAGTTCTAATACCCCGTCTGTCCGCGCTTTTGTTCGATACGACAGAGATTGATGGCCATTTAAACATCGCGGCAGTGTCGGAGCTCCCCTTGGCGCACGACACGGATGAAAGTCTTCGATCGCTAGTATTTGGCCAAGAAAAGCTGTTCGCGATATTACCCAGATCGCGATTCGTCACGTTCCAAATTACGCTTCTTCTTGTTATTTTTTATCTTAGATGCACCCTACCAGTCTCAAGCTAAATTTCAATAAAGCATCACGATCCCAATTATAATAGCATTGTACTAAATTCTCGAGTATAATTTTCCAGTATTCATTAGACTACGATAAGCTATTACAACTACATTAGAAGGATCCCTTAAAAAATAAAAAATTGCAACGATAAAGTTCGTTAACAAAAAATTAAGACACACAAGAAAGCAGAATCGTATTATAGTTTTCAAGGAATACCAAACCTTACCGTCTTATGCAATTCGGTGCTCTGTCGATGATGGTTTGAGCGAGATAAAAATATAATGACAAAAGCAATATCGTTTACCAGTACGATCGAAGCGCCCCGTGCATCGAAGAACGTGTACACGCACCTGTACATAAACACGCTGTTGTCGAAGCATCGATATTCTATCGCGTGACTCTGTCGCCGTTTCTTTCGCGCGTTGCGCACTTCACTCGAGACTGCCGTGCACCCTCTCCACGATACTGTTACAACACCGTCCTGTAGGGTGGAATCGCGCAATGTTGTCGGCAATTTTCGTAATTGAAGGGTAAAAAGTGAACGTCGAGTACGCCTGCCGCGACCGAATTATGCCAGCTCGAAAGCAATCAATCCAAGTACTGTCGATTGTTTTCCCTTTCGCGGGAAAACTCACGCGGAAGTTTCGCGTGCTTGTTTATCGACGCCACTACGTGATCATGCCTGAATTCAACAGTTAAAGTATTACAAAACGTGGAATACCAATTGCTCTTTAGCAAGCGACTGGAAAACGAGAGGCTTGTTTACTTCATTTCTCGGTTATCGAGGTGTATTTATTAGTAAGCTCTCCAATCATGATACATTCGTCATTTACTTTATCGAAATGTAAAATGTATTTGTTGCTATTGCGGTATTATATATCTCTGTCAATTCATTCCTCTTTGCATCATAACTGTACTTATCGAAGGGTCCTCCCACGGAATGGTACTTATTATTATGCTCTTTATAATTACGAAATTGCTATGAATTCATATTAAAAACACTTGCTGTTTATCTCCGTCTAATAAATGGAAATTATAGAAGCAAAAGAGCCTTTCAACCGAATCTGTCCTCATTTGCTAAGAGGTAATTACCATTTTTAATTCATTCCCGTTTGATCATTTACGTGCAAAACGATAGAATGAATTGAATTAATTGCGAAAGCTCGTGGGTGGAGATCAACGCGCGGAAATTGGAGTCTTTAGTGAAAAATACGGGACGGTTTCGGCGAACGAATAAATTTGCTAATTAATACGGACCGAGGGGGATAATTTTTGGACATTTTTTTGACGCGCGCGGACGAATCCGGATGAAATTGACGCGAGCCAAATCGCTCGCTGGTCGATGGGAGAAGCCGTTTCGATGAAAAATTTTACATCAACCGCCGACTATAGGGGTTATATATCAATGGCGTTGCTGCTTGTTCGCACAACATCGGTTTTATCGTTGAACGGATCGAGGGGAAGAAGCGCATTACACCAGTTACGATCGTTGCATGCCACGCGCTTTAGCGATATTGAAAGAACGATGGGTGGATGGAAACGCGGAAACGAGTGCAAAGCTTCCAGGAGAGATACAATTATCGACGAAACCTGTTTGAAAATTGTGTAGAAACGGTGTACGTTTGTCGAACTTGGCTCGAGTGCTTCTCGATCAATCGTTTCTCCGATCGAGTGTTTAATCGGATGCAGTAATTTCGCGCTTTTTTCGCGGCAAGGCAGCTGGCGCGGTATAAAATAGGTCGGCAGAGCTCTTTTACCCTTCGATAGAGTGTTTGTGGAATTGTTGTTCGAGGGGTTCTTTGGATTTCAGGACACTGAATGGAGCATGGATGGTGAATTTTGGAGAGTTGTTGTAATTTGCTATCTTCGATCGATCGAGTCATTTGTGGTTACTCGCATAACTGAATTGAGAAACCGTTGGTGGATTTGTAGAGTCACAGTTCATTTAAATTTAAATCGACCCACTTTACTCTATGAATCGAAAATTTAAACTATGAACGAACACACATAAGGAAGAATAACTCATCCTGATATCTCCTCAAATAATCACCTGAGCTCTCAGTGTTCCATTTTGGAATCCAAGGAGCACCGCAAATCCAAATAAATTCTCTAATGGCGTAAACGACGAATCCGACTTCTTCCAGTGGAGAAACAGACACGGTGCACCCAGTGAGGTCCGCAACGAGCGGCTGTGTCTCTGAAGCTGTCCGTTTGTATAGAGAACCGCCAACAAAACGTATCCTTTATGCGTCGCGCATTAGGACACTCCGTACGGCTGGTCAACGTTCCCAAACGATCGCTGTCGTCTCGCGAGAAAATTTTCTTCCGACCATTTTCCCCTCCACTTCCCGTTTTCCAGCAGAAAATCCTTCGAGGCCCTTTCAAGACTTTAATGTAGTCGCGTGCGACCGTGGAAATTTAATTAACGCGGCTGTGATTACAAGCAGCACAATATGAACGACCTTTGACCCGGCGCGCGCTTTCATTAACCAAGAGGGCCGACCCTCGTTCGACGTATCGGGACCCAACGGAAATTTTCACGTGCTTCCAAGCTGCTTTTTCGGCCGCGCGGAGTGTCCTACGAACTCGCTTTCTCTATCGACCGGTGCTGCCTGGATTCTTACGTTTTCGAACAAGGGATTCGTGACGGTGAACAACGTCGACGAGTTTCCTTCTGGGATATTCGATCGGCGATTAAAGATGGGGACTGGTACAATCGACAACGATGATAATCGAGCATTTGATACCGGAGCGCTTGGTGCGAAGCATCGATATCTCAGGTGCTTGGTGTCGGGTTATGATGTTCGATGATTTTGGGATTAATATTGATCGATACTGAGCAATACCGAGTTTCGATGTAGTTTAAATTTAACGACACTAATGAGGGGAGGAAGAAACTTGTCTACTTCTGATTTCAACCCTGTGTTGGATGAACTTTAGTTTGTCTATCGGAAAACAGACTATTTCTTGATTTAACTGCAGTCGAATAACTTTTTTCTATTGTTTCTTTTTTCATTGGAAGATTATCAGACGTCTGTTTAGAGTTAATTTTGATGTTTGAAATATATTCATATTTCATATCTATGGGTAATTTATAAGATTAATCGGAACTGTTTTAGATTGCCTTGTTGTTGTTGCACGGTAGTTTATTGATTCACGTGTTTACAAGTATCGAGTTTAGTATCGTATTCAGTGGAATTTATTGTACATATTGTCCTTTCATTTGTGCAGTAAGATAATGTTTCGGTAGTATTCCGAAAATGGCTTCGAACATGAAATTGAATATTCGCAATAGCATCGACTGCGACTCGGTTTACATACTGCTATCGGCGTGTGTACCTTGGGCAAATTGCGTTTAGTCCAAATGATGGAGTTCAATACACCAAGTAACAATGAAGATTATTATTCCAGTTTAATGGTTTGAAATAGCTTGAATCAAAAAATAAATTTGGATCTAACACAGTGTAGCTCCGAGGTAGACTTATCTATTCACGATGAATATATATCCTATAATTAATAAGTTGTTCAATAAGTTTTGTCGCTCGATAAGAGATAAGGTTTAGGTTCGTCATTTTATTTTTTTAAAAATAGCGTTACTGTTTGACGAACACGTGTGAAGATCCATGTAGATCTGTCAACTCATTCGTATACTTACAGCTGTTCAAAGTTGACATGGCATAGTATTTTTTTTACAATGGAAAGAATATCGTGCACTGATAACATTTTTGGTAAATCCTCTAGGTATACTTTCATAAAGGTATCAAAGCAATTGAATACAAAACTTCTGATATATCAATATACCAGTCCCCAAATGGTTCCACAAAATACCAATCGAGGTAGCGTCCGACAGCACCGGTGGACGATTACGACCGTCCGTTCGAAGTGCGTGCTCCGATCTTCACGATCCCCCCAACCCTTCTCTCGATTTACCTCTTTTACACCTGAACACATCCGCCCTCCAAACCCCCAGACCCCCTGTATGCCCTACTAAACCGCGATTCTCTTTAGCGATTCTGAACCGCTTTGACTGGGAATGCCACCTTTTGTCTTTGTATTGTTCTTTCAGTGCCACCTAAAATCACGCCTTTCAGTTTTGCTCGCGATTTAAACGTAGGGGACCGTACTAGCATACAGTGCGTGGTCGTGACTGGCGATCTGCCACTGACGTTCACGTGGCTCAAAGATAACGTCCCGATAGAGACGATCAGGACGCCGCAGGATGCTCCGTCGTCCAGCCATAGCCGCGTTCAGGACCCGGCGGGTCCTCGAGACGCGATTAAGGGGCCCAAGCGGGGCCCCAAGGCCGACGGCCAGGCCGAACAGTCCCCGAGAAAGGCCATTACCGTCCGACAATATGACGCTTTTACCAGCGCCCTGAGCATTAGCACGATCGCACCCGCGCACAATGGCACGTACACCTGTCGCGTGGCCAATGGCGCAGACACCGTCGCTCATTCTGCACTCCTTCACGTCAACGGTAAACGCACACCGTTGGTGTACCTTCTTTCGTTTCGCGTTGCGCGTCGACAGAGGTGTCTCGTTGCTCGTCTTCGATCCCCGCCCTCTTGACACGTTCCAACCGCTCGCGACACGGATGGGCGAATTCCCACCTGGACAGACATCTCAGGGAAGATGTCTGTCATAGATTATTCTATATGGATCGGTCATCGAATAATAATTCGAAATATTTTTAATTGCATTGCTCGGGAAGAAGTATCAATTTATTTTGAACGTTCTGAATCTTAGGTTTGAGACGTGTCTGGGATCTGTGAATAGTATAATGATGCAGTTCATTTTTTTGATGTTGACAAAGTTCTCTGGTACTATCCGAAGAAAAAATTTGAATCTCGTTAATCATTTTTGGATTAAGACTATCGTGGTGAAGTTTCCATAGAGTATGGCTCTATCAAATTTACTATTACGATGCAACCGAATACCGTGCTATATTTGCATATGTAATTAATGCGCATTAATCATAGCAGTATTAGGTTACCGTTATTAAAGTGAAGCTATTATACGTGCTGCTATAGCACGATATTTAGATATATCACATTATAAATAAATTATAATCAATCGTTTCAGATTCTCTTCAATATTAATGTCAACAGATACTCAGAATAATTCAAATCTGTGAGTCGAAACGTTTACAATAAATTAATTCTAATCATTGAGCCCTCAAACACAATTTCGCCCCTCGCACTTGCAAGCGGTTGGAAACGGCGCCGTGGGCCGTGATAGATGTCACGTTGCGCATGTAAGAACGTGACCTTAAGCGGGGTTTTAATTTCCGTCTTTTTCTTTCATCGCGTTGCATCAATCTCGACGTGTCTGCATGCTTCGACGCGCCAAGATCGTGAATTGCATCGTTTGTTGCACGCACGTTCGCCGTTTTGAATGCATCGCGTTTCGGAGTACGCTCTCAATCCATTCAGATGAATCACCACTAGTAAAATTATCTGGGAAATTGTTACTCGAGTCAATCTTTATTTATTTTATTTTACGGTTTCGTTGCAATTGAGTATATTATAAAACAGAAAGAGGACAGAAAATGTATTATTCATTGATTATTAAGCCTGGGTCTACTGGAGAATGTGAACTATGAATCAGGTTCTTCCATATCGTTTTTCTTTTTCAAATTTCTATTTAAAATACTTCTTTAACGATATTTTATACTACATTTCTATTTTGGTAAAAAGAAAGTAAAGTGACTTGTATAAGTGCTTGTGTTTTTATTCAAAATCAATTTTCAATCAATATTGACTATTTTAGGTATTAAGTAATATCTAACGAGTAAAGAAGAACAATATATCCACCTATCGTATTTAAAACATAATTTAAAACGTATTCCCTCTTTCATAACTGAAACTATATTCCGTTTCCTTTAAAACTGTTCAAGTTAATGTACATTCACAAATTTCAATACCAGGATCAATACGTTTTCGTGTTATTCACCTGCTTCTCGATGAAACAAGTATCGCCAGAATAGTCCCAGCTTCACTCACGATTCGTGGTACATGATAAAGACAGACTGAGGATTTTCCAGCCGACGGATCACACTCTCGCTTTGAAAAGTAACTGATCGATCGTTGGGTAAGGAAACGGCGTTACGCGGTCGCTCTAACCTGTGGCTAGTATGATCGATCAATCAACGTGCACAGCCCGCTGCATCGCGCCGTGGCGATCAATTTTCCATCGCGCAACGAATGAAACGAACTTTTTTTTTGTCACTGCTCGCAGTCTTCCGCCGCGAAGATATCCGTCGGCGTATCGATCGACGTGGATGTATCAATTAACGGGCGTTTGATCTTCCCTCCTCGTCGAACCCACCTCTGTCGACGTTCGCGAGTCGAGTTTCTTAAGCACCGAGTTCGCTGATGATCGTCGCGGACAGGGATGGGCGAAATCTCATTCCCAGGAACGCGTAACGAATAATTTTTAGACGATTATCAACCGAAACCCTGACATTTTCGTTCGTTTATCGGAAAATTCTCCTCTGGATTAACGAAATTCTCTGAGGTTCGATTCTGCAGTTCGAATTCATTAAACTAAATTCCTCAAATTCCCACTGTATATCTTCAAATTTCACTCCATCATCGAAATTCCTTTAATCTCATTTCACGATACAGGTTCTTTATACCGCGTTACGATTCGAAGCCTTCGAATTTCTGCAATAATACAAATTCTCTGAATTCCATCCTCGCGTCCCTTTTATCTTTTATTCGTTACACGAAATGTTCATCGAGGAACTTCGCCCACCCCTGGTCGCGGATGATCTCGGACCCCCGGAGGTTCGAAGTAATTCGACGCGACCTGTTTCTGCTACATGCTAGTCCAAAGTGCACGCCCAGCGGCACGTCCAATGGCGTATCGCGGATGTCGAGCAGGAAAAGTCTCGAATTTAATTTTCGCGAACGCAGGATCGAGGGACTGCGCGTTATTTTGGGCCACGTCCCGATCGTAAGACGGTATCGACCGTGTCGGAACGTGCCGAGCGACCCATAGACGCGGCTTATTAGATTTCAATTTAGATAGCCGTGCTGGAATCGCGACACCGAAACGATCCCTTGGCTCGAGGTTCCGCGCTGTCGCTCGATTGGACGTGTCGCGAATTTTCAATCTCTTACTTCCGATTTTGGTCACCCTCCGTTACTCTCTCTTTACACACACTGTGATCCTGCACGCTGTTTCTCTTTGCACGCCTAATTGCACGCTTCGATCAGATTTACCATACGGACGCTCTTTACACGTATATCTATATATGTGTATCCATTTGGGGGTGTCCCGTACGAAACTGGCCACCGAATTGTTTTTACCAAGGTAACGGATCGATGGAGAGGATCTTAGTCTTAGGATCAGCTGGTAGATCAGTAGATATAGCGTTCATTTGAGCGATGAGTGCATCCGCGAGATAGAACGGTTACATAGACGCCATTCATACAGTGTTGTTTATTTCATGCCTGAAGTGTTCTCATGTTTAGTTGTCGCGGGACGGAAAGCGCGTCGTAGGTAATTTTAAGCGTTTCGTGGGGTGAATACGTCGCGAGAGAAAGTTTCTTTCCGATGTCATATTTTTTTCAGAATTTTCGAGGTCTGTGGTCGCTTACACGTAAGTACACGTTCTTTTCTATTGCATGGTCCATTTCGAATCATTCGCGATTAAATCGAGACAATTGTAGCAGTTGCGAACTCGAAAATGGATAGATGTAATAATTTGTTATTGCACTCAACTTTAATGTATTCAACTCGTTACGTTTGAGAATATAACTTGCGTAAATTGAACAAAAAGATAAATTTATTAACCTTATTACTTTTCAGACGTAATTGTAATACTGAATTTACACTTATTATATATTCAGTACAATTAATTCGAGAAATTGAGTTAAATGGAAGGATAAATTCGCTGGATGTAGCACTTTTAATTTCTTTATTGTTAATTAAACAATAAAGTCTCTACATCCTCTTGGGTAATAAATTTTCTTTAATCAACTTAAGCAATTAGAGAGCAGACGAAGCCTGTGAAAACGGAAGAGGAACTAATATGAAAGTTAATTTTAATTTGGGGGACTAATAATAGAAGACACCATTGACACCATTTTTGTAGACTATTATGATTTCACTATTTAATTTGAACACTCATTCAATGTAAAATAATTACATTTTATTATTTCCCCCTCGCAGTTTTATCTGTTAATAAATGACACACGTTAATTGGACGAAAGTTACCAAAACGCCGCCAAAGGAAAGGCAGAAACGTTTAATTAACATTAAAGAAGTGAAGCCATGCTCATAATTGCAACAATTGGCTCGATTTAATTTTCAATTACAATCAGCATCGTTCATTAGTAATTTAATACAAATGCCGTTATCATGACTCTCAAATAACTCGAAACTCCAGAACTCGAAATCAAATATGAAATATTTCATCGACAAATGTATGCATTACCAAACCGTAGATACCTAAAATATTTACGCGTAATTATTGTACGCATTCGCGTTCGCCACGAGAACACGTAAATGTCGGATAAAATATATACAAAGGGAGAAGAACAAACAATAAGCCAAGATCGAGCTTAAACACTCCGAAAAGACGTATGACACGGAAGAAACAATTTTCTCTCGAAATATTCACCCCAAAACGTCGCTTCGAATCATTTTTACGATTCATTCGCCCCTGTTCTCGCGACTTGAGGAGACGGTTAGGTGGCCCGTTCCGAGTGGGACGTCCCATCCATCTTTATATGTACACGTAAGGTATATATACATCATCTTTTGCCAGTGTTTCATACTCTCGTTTGTGCGAACGTCCATATTATTTTTCCTAGTGTGTATCGAGCTAAGTCGACCAAGTATGTTTCCGTAGATCGTATTTATCTGTGACATCGAAGCGCTCGTTGAAAATTCCGCTCGGGCGAGAGAGAAAGGGGCCTCGATTGGTTTTTCTCCCCCCCTCTCTCTCTCTCTCTCCTTAACACGGGACGCGGCGCACATGAGCGTTCATCCCGCGTGTTCGTCGACGTTTCGAATCGTCTGCCGCAAAATTAAACCCGGATCCCCCGTCAGATTAGGATTTTTCGTTTAATTTTGCCCCACGGAGCCCGCGGGACGTCACACCGGCTCGATGTCACAGCGTGAGATCGCTTCCACGTAAAGTTTACCGTTTCGTAACTGATTTTAATCTTCGCACACACACACACACATCCGTGTAAACATTATGCATCGTTCAGCATCAACGTATGCGAGAGCATATATATACGTAATGTCATTTTTTCTCATCATCCTTTTACTTTCTGCTCCTACTTTTTTTGGATTGATTCAAGTAAGAACCACACAGTTTATCCACATCTAAATGGTATCTTTCTTGCAACGACGGATCGCCGTGGACGACGCTCACACGATCCGGTAGTAGGAGTCGTGCTCTATTTGTCCCGTTCGAATGAATTCACCATCACCTTTGTTGCTCTCGATATACGGAGCTAA